AGGGCTTATATTGCACAAATGCTTAGAGATCCTATTAGGGCTTATTTTATGGGTAGGTCTTATTTTCAGGGAAACATGGTATAACCTAACCACTACCACAAGCTCATGGTATGACTATCCTTTAGATATCTGTGTCCTTGTCCCTAGAAGACTTCCTGACACTTGATCATTCTTTGTGGAAGAGCCTATGTTGCCTAAAACCTTTCATTGGCATTCTAATGATTAGCAATCTTCAATAGTAGAGCACTGTTACAGTCTGGGAGGAATTCTTCATGCTGCAGTCTAGAGCTTTCTTCCTTGTCCCCTCCTCACTGGAGGGGAAGTAGCCGCACACACTCTTCTGTGTCATGTGGCAAAGGTCTTGACACCCACCCTTTGACCCTGGGGATAGTAAGCGGGGCCACTTAGGTGGGTACTACTATTCCTGAGGGCCCCTAGTCTGTTGGGGGAAGCTACCAAAGACCCCCCTGGGACTGGCAATGAGGTCCTCTGGTACTCAGACTGAGGCCCCCATAGAGGAGGGGGAAACTATCCTAACTAACCACGGAGAGGAGTCTCTGAGGAGGTGGGAGGTATGGAAGGCATCGGTGGTATGAGAAAGTCAAGGTTAGTGCTGTGGACAAAGGTTTAGCAGGACAGCCCAGAGGAGCGTCCCTTTAGCACTGTCCCCAACCAGGCCCAGGGACAGAAACTCCTGAAAGGAGGGGTTATTAACGGAAAGTATGAGTTCAGGGGCACGAGGGACGTGGAAGCAGCGTCGAGAGGTGGGGGGCTGCGGGGCAGGTGGAGGTGAGGCGGGAGGTGGGGTCCGCACAGTAGGGGCGCAGGGCGGGAGAGGTGCTGTGGGCCTGGGGGGCCGTGACCCCCGAAGGGCTCTCTTAGGGGCACTTGGGGACTTGTCCTACCTGTCCCGGGTCGCGGAGTCCGGACTGAGCCGGGTCGGCTCTCCCTGGGGGCGCTCCGGGACGCCCCCTCGGCCAAGGCAGAGCAGAGCCCACCGACTCCGGCGTCCCGTCCGCACCGCTGGGGTTTAAACACGTTATTAAATAGGCATGTGAGCTGTAAACCAGTACATTTTTCCTTTGCTAATTACCTGCCACTGAGGGTCTCCCCTAATAGAAGACAGGGCTTGCAATATAAAAACCATATATACATGGTTCCCGCACCAAACACTTCACCAGACCGGCCGTTAGATGACCAGGGCAGCAGCCGGGGCTCCGTCTTGCAAACCCAGTCGCTCCCTATAAAGAAGCTCTGGGGAATGACGGAAGGGACTCGTGCGGGGCTGCTTACTGAACCTCTCTACTTCCTTTGCGACAAATGGTCTGGGGCCGGATTCCTGTTCTGACGGCCGCTCTCCTCGCATCTCCTTCTTTGCGAGAGATTTCCTCACGTGTTTAGGGATTTTAAGTGGGAAGTTGTCCGTTATTCTCATTCATATTGTCCCTCTCCCCCAACCTCCTTCCTCTTGTATTAACACCCCACCCCCACCCCCACCCCCAGCCCCACCCCCACCCCCGGCCCAGGCTCCCCCTGGTGGCGGCTGCGGAGAAGCGCGCGGTGCCCGCTGGGACCGGAAGCCCTGGTGCTGGAGGAGGAGAGGGGCCAGGAACTCGTGCTGGCACCGCTTCTATTTACCAAGCCCAGGCAGGACAAACATTTCACAGAAAGTACCCGGGTTTTGATGCAAGCCTTCCCTGGGGAAAGACACACGCACATTCTGCTCTGGGGATTCTGAAGCCAAGGGGATAAACAGTGGTAGGGGACAGAGCTGAGGTCTTCCAGGAGGAAGGTGGCACAGGAATAGGGTGGAGGAGGCCAAAGCCTCATATGACCCCACTGAGTCTTAAGTAGCTCACCCCGATCCCTCAGGGCTGGGCTTGTAGAATCCGCAGTGCTCAGTCCACTTGGCAGAGGGAACATTCTCATGCGATCTGGGCCTGCCTCTGGAGGGCTGGCTCCCGAGCTCTGTGCAGCCTGCGCCTGTTCTTGGTCACACAACTCACGGAAACTCCAGTCTCTGAGGACCCAGGCTCTGATGGACTTCAGTGGAAGCCTGTGCTGTTTAATCGCAGGACATCCTTATGAGCTAGACTCTCCTATTATCCCTGTCTTAGAGATGAGGAGACTGCGATTCAGAGATCCAGCGTTTCCTGCCAAGGATCACACACCCATGGAATGGAAAAGCTGGCATGGAAGCCTAGATCTGAGGACTTCAAAGCCTGTTTTCTTTCCACCAGGCTACCCTGCACTGAACACAGTAATTATTTGTTACCTACAGACACCATCAATCATAGAACTGAAGAAAAAACTTGGAATCGATGCAGAAGGGAAAAGCCTCCTTATCCACAATTCTATTTGTATCTCCTTCTCCTACCTCTTGCCCATCTTCCCTCCCTCCCTCCCTATGGTTTGTTCTACAAGCCTTCCTTTTATCTAAGAACCACTGCCAAGCCACAGCTTCCTGTGTTTTGTCTTATTATGCAGGAAAGAAAGTGTCTGCTGGCCTGATCTGCAACCCAGGGCCATAATTACTTCTGGACTGTTTGGGTCCAAAGGGCTGGCTAAACATCTCTAAGAAATACCACAATCCTCTGGTTCTTTCATCTCTTTGGTGAAAGTTAAATAGAAGTAACATTAATGGAGCACTATTACGTGTCATGTCCTGATTTATAAGTATGTATTCTGAGATACACATAAGCTTACTCCTGTGTGTGTGTGTGTACATATATGTATTCACACATACAACCATTTGATGTGGGCATCAGTGCTCCTACTGTACAGATGAGGAACTTGAGGAGCTGAGATGTAAAGTGAACTGTCCAAGTCACATTCCTGGAATACAGAGGTGGCAACTGAACCCAAGATGATAAGTTTATCATCTGTCTTGTTTAAAAAAGTTTTTATTTAATAAATGAACTATAGTTAGATAATATTAACTTACAATAAAGTGCATCTATTTTAAGTATATAGTTTGAATTTAGACAAATGCATTTACCCTTATAACCACCTCAACAATCAAATATGAAATAATTCTATTACCTTAAACAGTTCCCTGTGCTGCTTTGTGGTAAATTTCACACCCACTTTCTACCCTTACCCCAAAACTAATCTGATTTCCTTCACTACAACTAGTTTTGACTTTCTAGAATTTCATATAAATAGAATTATACAATACAAAAACTTGGGTCTCAGCTCTTTTGCTCAACATAATGCTTGTTGCATATATCAGTGGTTTTTCGTGCTGTGATGTCAGCCTACCTCACAGCAACCTCAAATTCCTGGACTCAAGCGATCCTCCTGCCTCAGCCCCCCGAGTAGCTGGGACTACAGGCATGTGCCACCATGCCTAGCTAATTATATATATATATGTGTGTGTGTGTGTATATATATATATATTTTTTTTTTTAGTTAGCCAATTGATTTCTTTCTATTTATAGTAGAGACAAGGTCTCGCTCTTGCTCAGGCTAATCTTGAACTCCTGACCTGGAGCGACCACCCACCTTGGCCTCCCAGAGTGCTAGGATTGTAGGCATGAGCCACTGCGTCCGGCTGCATTTTTCATTTTTTTAAGAGTGGTGTCTTTCAAAGAGCATGAGTTTTTAATTTTAATTAAGTCAATTTATTAATTTTGCTGTATTGTGCTTAGTATTTTTTGTCTTTCAAAAAATAAAATCCCAAAAAGGAAATTCTGACACCAAGTTTGTGAGGATTTTCTCATAAGTTTAGAAATTTAATATTTTTAGCATCTTTGTTATATCTATGATAGTTTTAGAGTTAATTTTTGTGTATGTTTGAATTAAGTGTTGAGATCATGCTTTTCCAAATGAATATACAATTATTCCATCACCATTTGTTAAGACTATCCTTTCCTCATTTAATAACCTTGACAACCTTGTTAAAAATTAATGGACTGTATATAGTAGGTCTATCTCTGGACTGTCAGTTCTTTTCCTCTGATTTATATATCTGCCCTTATAATACTATACTGTCCTGATTATTGTAGCTTTATAGTAAATCTTGAAATCAAATAGTATAAGTCCTCCAACTCAGTTCTTTTTCTTTGGTATTCTATATCCTTTGTAAATTTTGAAATAAGATTATCAATATCTAAAAAATAATCTGAGGTTTTGATAGGGACTGAGTTAAAGATATAAACTAATTTGGGAAGAATTGATGTTAATTAACAACATTGTGTTCTCCAGTCTATGAGCATGATGTATCTACTTATTTGGATTTTCTTTAATTTTTCTCAGCAAGTTCAGTTTCCATTTTATATGTCTTATGCAATTTTATTAAATATATCCTTCAGTAGTTCATCTTTTTGAATGCTCTTATAAATTATATTTTAGTTCCTTTTCCAATTGCTTATTTCTAATACACAGAGGTGCAATTGTTTTTCATATGTTACTCTTGTATCCTTTAGCTATGTTAATCTCACTTATTCTAGTAGGAAAACTCTAGGATTTTCTAGGTATACAATTATGTCATTTGTAATTATACATAGTTTTACCTCTTTCTTTCCAAATTGTATGCCCTTTTTGTTCATTTTGCTTTTTGTGTTCGCAAGGACCTCTAATATAATATTTCCTTCTTCCAAATTTTATGAGGAAAACTATTCAGTCTTTGACCATTAAGTAGGATATTAGCTGTAGGTTTTTGGTAGACATTGTTAATCACATTGAAGAAATTCTCTTTATTCCTAGTTTGTAGAGAGTTTTGATCATAATGGATGTTGTCAAATACTTTTCCTATGTCTATGGAAATGCATCATATTTTGTTAGTATGATAAATTACATTAAAAATGTAAAGCCAACCTTGTATTCTAGGAACAAGCCCAACTTGATTATGATTTGCTGTCCTTTAAAAAATATTCCTGGATACAATTTATTAATTGTTTTTGAAGATTTTGTATTTATGTTCAAAAAGGACAGAAATCTATCTATATATATTTTTTTCTTGTAATGTCGTTGTCAGGTTCTATTATGAGGAAATGCCTCATCTTCTGTTTCTGAAAGAGCTTGTGTAGGATTTGTATTACCTCTTAAAATGTTGGAATGTTAAATGTAGAAGTCATCAGGGAAGCTATCTGGCCCCAGAGATTTCTTCGTGTGAAGGTATTTAATTACAAATTCAATTTCTTTAATAGGACATAAGTTTATTCAGATTTTCTATTTCTTCTTAAGTCAATTTTGGTAAATTATATTCTTTTAGGGAATTTGTCCATTTCATTTAAGTTGTTAAATTTGTTGGAATTATGTTGTTTGCTATTTCATGTTGTCTTTTTAATATCTGAAATATCTATAGTAATGTTCTCGTTTCATTCCTGAAATTAGCAATTTGTGCCTACTCATTTCTTATTAAGAAATCTAGCTAGAGTTTTATTAATTATATTGATCATTTCAGAGAACCTACTTGTGCTTTCTTTGATTTTTGTCTATTGTTCATCTTTTTTATTATTTCTGCTCTTGGTTATATTATTTCTTTCTTTCTACATATTTGACTATAATTTGCTATTCTGTTTCTAGCTGCTTAAGGTGGAAGCTTAGATCATTAACCCCACTCTCTGCCTGTTGAATCAAAGTTTTCACTTTGTCTTCTTTTATAGCCCGTGTTCTGTTAAATACTTTCCTCATTATTGATCATTCTTTTTTTTATGTTGGAACATATCTTGTTTTCTCTAGTGCATTATAATCTGTTTTGATAAATTAGAACCATACCTTGTTCTTCTTCCAATCTTGCAAAAATATTAACATAGTGTTCTATATGTACTAGGTGCTTAATAAATAATTATTAAAATAAAAAATAGTATTTTATTGTGTTTCCAAGCACCAGATATATATGAAGAGTGTGGGGGATAGTGCACATAAGAGGAGTTGCGCTTCACATTCCTATTTGGTCACCAAAAGCCAACTCGGACATCATTTCTTCTTGGAAGGCATCTCCACAGGTAGAAAGCATTGCTCTCTCATTCATTCTGTTTTCTTTATGTTGTACTCCTATTATTGTATTTATGTTGTATCATAATATTTTAAAAATTAGCTTATGTTTGTCTCTCCTGTTGCAGTCTTAGTCTTTTGGTAACAGGGACCCCGTCTTATTCCTTGGTGCCTGGTGTAATGCCTGACAATCAGAAATCATCTAGTAAATGTTTGCTGGGTGAATGAGAGAACAAAAGGCCTTTCTCTGCCTCTGGAGTCTGGTGAAACATTCGGACCATATGTAACAATCTGTGCTGTGTTGTGCTGTATTTCAGAGAATAAACATGCAGTCCTATTGTGTTTTGAATGCATTTTAAATGGGAAAACGTTCAGCATGTGTTGTAAGTTACTGTTCTCAGAGTAGGGTCCGGAATCAATCAATGTCTCAGTCCAAACAGCAAGTGGACACCACCACCACTCAGCCCCCTCCCTTCCATTTGTCTCAGGAGAAAATAAGTGGCTTAAGCCACACTAACCTCTCCTGTCTGTCTTTGTTCTCAGAGATGGGGACTGTTTCACAAAGAAAGGAGGGTCTGCAGCTCTGCTATTTTAGAAATACTGAATTCAGAGCACTTACATAATAGGAAATGTCCCTAAACTCCAGCCAGATCAATTTGTTCCCCCTCCCCAGGGCTATTATCACAGTGCCCTTGCCAAAGCTCTCAACAAGTCTTCGTAATCTGTTACATGCTTAGTTCTCCATGGAGTTTTCCAGGCACTCTCCTACCCATTATCTTTTCTAATCATCACAACAGCTGCTATATATAGTATTCCAGAGGGCACTGAGTAAAGGAAAGAGATCTAGCTTTTTTTTTTTTTTTTTTGAGACAGAGTCTTACTCTGTTGCCGAGGCTGGAGTGCTGTGGCGTCAGCCTCGCTCACAGCAACCTCAAACTCCTGGGCTCAAATGATCCTCCTGCCTCAGCCTCCCGAGTAGCTGTAGCTGGCACTACAGGCATGTGCCACCATGCCCAGCTGTTTTTTTCTATATTTTTAGTTGTCCAATTAATTTGTTTCTATTTTTAGTAGAGACGGGGTCTCGCTCTTGCTCAGGCTGGTTTCGAACTCCTGACCTTGAGCTATCCTCCCACCTCGGCATCCCAGAGTGCTAGGATTATAGGCGCGAGCCATCACACCTGGCTAAGATCCAGTTTTGGAGCTAGACAGCGCTGATTCAATTCCTGCTCTGCCACTTACTGATGTGTGGCAGTGGTCAGTATCTTCATTTCACTGAGCCATGGTTTCCTCATATGTAAAATGGGGATAATACTTACCTTGAAGCCTTCTTGTGACAGAGCTAACATATACAAACCATTTAGCACAGTGTTTGGTACATGGTAGGTGCTTGATAAATGGTAGCTATCATTGTTACTGTTTTCATGTTCTAATTATTTGGGGGCTTTGTAGCAATTCAGGTTAAGATGAAACCAGGAACAGTAATGCAGTGAAATAGCACTAATGGGCATCATATATATTGTCAACTGCCTCCAAGCACATCAGCTTGTAAAAGCAAAGGTAGAAGAAACTTTAAAAAAAAACACCAAAACAACATAAAAACTAAATGGAACAAAGGCAGCCTTGTACCTTAAATATTGCTGGAGTGCAACTATATCCATCCTGGAATTGGTGTAGACTTTGTGCTTAAAGTGGTTGCTTTGGAGAATTTGGTATTAATTGGTTCCTATGAATATAATTTAAGAAGAGTTGAACCAGCATCTATGCTGTGTTGAATGCTAAGTTTAGATAGAGAAATGAATGAATCAGTAACTGAACGACAGAAGACTGCAAAAAGCACAGAGGACGGAGTCACTAACTGGGAAAGGCCATAGAAGTCTTGAAGGATAGACTGGGTTTTTCTCAGATGGTATCAACATGGACTCTTAAAGGTGTGATGAGTTTTTGTGAAGATCGATCATGGGGAGTGGTGAAGATATGATTAGGTTAGCATGATGACCACCTGTTTGCTTTGTAGTTAGAACTGAGTGAGAATCCATGTCCTGTTGTTGGTGAGCTGAGGAACCTTGAATGAGTTGGTGCAGTGTTGTGTTCACTTAACTTCAAATGGAGATACGAGTAACATCTACTTTGGAGATTTTGGGGGATCAACGAATAATTTTGCATCTCTCCCATTTAGGCTTAGAACTAAATGAGAGGGTAAAATTAGATGAATGGATGTAAAAAGGTCATTTTACTAATTAGACTATATTAGAAAACTTGGATGTTTAGAAATAATGGCCTTCCTAATCCTGCACCCCAACATTAAACATGCTCAGTGGGCACAGGCAGAAATGAAAATCATGGGCCCTTCTTGGGGGGAAGATCTCCACTAAGCTCACTGTGGGACTTACCAAGCGGACCAGGATGCATTCTTTCTCTGGGCGCACAGATCAAAGAGTGGTCCTAGATGTGGCTGAGCCAAGTGTGTCTCATTTCTTCTTTCCAACTAACTCTCCCCAGGGAGAATGAGGGGATGAGTAAGAGGCTAATAGAGAACCTTAATTCCACATGGAAACGTAAAGCCTGAGGAAGGGAGGTTGCCTCCAATATTTATAGCAAGGAGTTGTGAGGATTAAATATGAGATAATATATACAAAATACTAAGCATGGTGCCTCAACAATTGTTAGCCTTTATTGTAGTTGCTATGGCAGCAGATTAGCGGGACCCAATATATTGTCTGATATCTTCTCATTAACATATCCATGAGGATATGCAAAAACACAAACACTGGACACCAAAGAGAAGGCCATTTGCCAAAGTCTGAGGGGAGTTTCCTCCAGCTGTACTGTGGGTAAAGATACCCATCCTGGATAATACTCTTCTTAGAAAGCATGGACCCCCCTTTTGGGAAACAGGTGTAAACTGATCCAAAATATCAATATACCTGTTACATCCCTTCTGCATTTGGAGATTATCTTTTGGGCTTGATAGAAGTGGTTCTGTCCTCCCATTTCCATAAATTCCATTCCACACATTATCAGAAGCAAAAATTCTCAGGACATGTGATTCATTGCATTTGGAAATGAGAAACTATCCAAGGAAAAACATTCTGGTAGAAATGGTAGAGTTCTGGCAACAGTAGTAATGGAAGAAAAGGTAAGAGAAAGAATGTGGCCTTTTATGCTCTATCTGATAAAAGGACTAATTAATGCATCAGTAAGTGAGTAAGAGGAGAGTTCACCTCAGGCCTGCTCAGTCAAGTGAGATGATCTCCTGCCAGGGCCAGGGGCTGTCAAAGCCACTCCTACTCTGAGTCTGAATGTTCAAGAAGAATACTCCAGCACCCAAGTGGACAGGGAGAGAAACCCAGAAGATCCTACGGCCTCTACCTTCTAGTATAAGTTGGGTGTTATTTAAGGAAAAGTCAACAGTAGAAAAAAAAGGTGCCTGTATAAAAATTATTGTAGCATAAAGGAAATGAAACATTATTCTCCAGGCTCAGAGGGAAATTATAATTCTAAAAATTAGTTACTATAGAAGTCAATCTTTTGGAAGACATTTGCTTATTTTTGATAAGATGCAAGAAATTGTGGTCTGCCTGAAAAAGGATAAGCGAGCATTGAGCAGAAAATGGTATGAGATGAAAAGGGAAGCTTGCAAGTCAACTCCAAAACAAGACTAACATTAATGTCAGCATTAGGCATGATTTTATAAAATGGAATTTTTCTTGAAGAAAAGATCAGAGCAAAACAAAAATATGTAAGTTTTAATAAAACAACTGTTCTCCGGTAGGAGAAGAGGCCAGTGTTTGGAGATTAATATAGTTTGGTATGTTCCAGGTCTTATTAATATATATGCCTCATGACAGTTTTTTAATCTTAAGGAAAACAAAATTCTATAATAATTCATGCAAAAAACCACAAAACAAAACCAAAACCAATAGCAACGGATTGTCTACAAAGGAAAAAAATCAGACATCTTTTTGGCAACATTGAATAACTTAAGAAAATAGAGCAATGTCTGCATAATTTTGAAGGAAAAAATGTGAACCTAGAAACTGAGAGATGAATTAATTCAAGAATGTTAAACTAATTGAAGAATGTTAAATTGTAGTATAATAGAATAGATGGTGAACAATGAAAGAAGTAAACATGAGAACATAAAAGGTGTGTCAGGATTCTGTCAAGAAACAGAAACCATCTAGGTATTTCAAACAGAGGGGATTTAATACAGGCTATTTGTTACTTCCTGAAGACACAAATAGGGTATTACTTCTCAAACTTTAATGTATATTCAAATCATCTGGGAGCATGTTGAAATGTAGTTTCAAATTTAATAGATTTGGGGTTAGAAATGAGATTCAGCATTTTTTTAATTTAACATTTTTATTGTTTTTTTTTTTTTTTATTCTTGACTGTAGTTGAGAGATTCAGCATTTTTAAGATGCTCCCAGATAAAGCCAATGCTGCTGGTCCCTGAAACACTTTTTGAGTGGTAACGCAATAGGGCAGTTGATAAAACCAGACATTAGCAATAGCAGGAAGCTATAACTTTCCTTAGGGTTGAAGCAGCACAGGAAGGAGATATTAATTTGGTGCCATTGAGTGGTAGCTAACAATGTGGCCAGCTTCTTGATGGGAGCTGGGACCAAGGTGGGAACAGCTGGTAGAATCCGAAATTACAGTGGAGAGTGGAGATGAGGCTGCTGCTGGAGACTCGGCTGGAGGTAGAGTGATAGGGAATAAATACCCTGGCTTCTCCTTTCCTCCTGGCCTCTGATGTTTAGCAAGATTTTTTCTGCTAGCTGAAACTGCTTTCCCTAGTGCAGTATGCAGCCTCACTGGCTCTCAGCTTCTCCTTCTGGGTCACCCTTTAATATAGGCTAAGCAACTAATTAAACATCCCAATTCTACCTCTAACCAGGGGCAGTCAAATGTATCACAAGGGGCTGTCTAGGTATAGGATCCACCTCTTAAATCGAGAGAGAGAGAGAGAGAGATGGGGTAGGGGCAAGTGAGGAGGAAATGACAGTGTTTATATTAATAACAAATGTAGTTTTTCTCTTATGCTTATTGTACTATGTATTAATAGCTCCTACCTTTCAGTGTGTTGAACACACCAAGTGCTCTCCCACTTCAAGGCCTTACAAAGACCAGTGACTTGCCATAGAAGGCTTTTTCCCATACTCTGGGGTGGTTAACTCCTGCTCATCATTGAGATCTTAGCTCAAATACCTCTTTTTTCTTTTTCTTTTTCTTTTTTTTTTTTTGAGACAGAGTCTCACTCTGTTGCCCTGGCTAGAGTGCCATGGCATCAGCCTAGCTCACAGCAACCTCAAACTCCTGGGCTCAGGCGATCTTCCTGCCTCAACCTCTCAAGTAGCTGGGACTACAGGCATGCACCACCATGCCCAGCTAATTTTTTCTACATATTTTTAGTTGTCCAGCTAATTTCTATTTTTTAGTAGAGATGGGGGTCTTGCTCTTGCTCAGGCTGGTCTTGAACTCCTGACCTCGAGTAATCCTCCCGCCTTGGCTTCCCAGAGTGCTAGGATTACAGGCCTGAGCTACCGCGCCCGGCCTCAAATGTCTCTTATTAACAGAACACTCCCCTGACACCCAAGACTAGGTAAGGTCTTCCTGAAATAACTTCTCATAAAGTCTTTTCCTTATTCTTCCTGGCACTTATAACAATGTGAAATTATATATTTGTGTGGCCGTGTTCTTTGTCCCTGTCCCTCAGTAGGCCATGAGTTCCATGAGGGTAAAAATAATGTCTACTTTGTTAAATGCTCTATTTCTCATGCCTGGAAAACTAGAGTAACACATGGATGCACCTCTCCAGCTTATGAGTATGAAAAAGCAGGCTGGATGTTTTGGGCAGCTGGAGAATATGTTCCTGGTTTTAGCATTTGAATGTGGATATAGAAATGTGATTTCTGGAAGGCGTTTTGGTTGGATAATGAGCTGCCCAATCAGGAGTTGATGTTCTAAAACTTTCATAAGTTGTGTCTTATATGCAACGCAGGAAAATGGCCTTTAAAAACAGATAAGTGCTACCATTTGTTGAACACTTACCACTTGCCAAACCCCGTGCTGTTTTACAGACGTTGTTATTCCTATTTCGCTGATGAGGACACTGAGACTCAGATGGCGAATGATATCCTATAGTTCATTAAGTAGCGGAGCAAAGGTGAAGCCTGATGTCTTTCTGTCTTTATCAACCGATGTGACTAACTTTTATAACTTCTGAATAACTAGCTTTAAGTTTAATAGGTTTTTTTTTTTTTTTTTCTTTTTCTAACTCAAGGGTGAGGACCTACACTGTGAATAGCATAAAGTCTTCAGGGACTATTCCTGCTTGTGTGAAAGGTAAGTAAAGCAGGCACCTGTTTCTGCCAGGCTATGGCAGCCCCCCAAGGACTCCCAGAGTGGGGTATATATCTCTCCCAGCTGCAAAGAGCCAGGAGAGGTCTTTGTGGGAAGTTAAGTCCCAATTAGAATCATGAGGGGGTTGGGCAGGTGGAAGCCAGTGGTGTGCCAGCTCACAAGAGCTGTTGTTAAACTTTCAGGAATTTTACAAGCTGGCTTTAGATGCAGTCATTTTTAAAAACTAAGTTTTATAAACTTATAATTAAAACCTACATTAAAAGCAAAGTAAATACTTAAGATATCACTTCTTTTTTTTTTTTTTTTTTTTTGAGACAGAGTCTCGCTTTGTTGCCTAGGCTAGAGTGAGTGCCATGGCGTCAGCCTAGCTCACAGCAACCTCAATCTCCTGGCTCAAGCAATCCTTCTGCCTCAGCCTCCCAAGTAGCTGGGACTACAGGCATGCGCCACCATGCCCGGCTAATTTTTTTATACATATATATATTAGTTGGCCAATTAATTTCTTTCTATTTATAGTAGAGACAGGGTCTCGCTCTTGCTCAGGCTGGTTTCGAACTCCTGACCTTGAGCAATCCGCCCGCCTCGGCCTCCCAGAGAGCTAGGATTACAGGCGTGAGCCACCACGCCCGGCCTAAGATATCACTTCTTAATTATTTTACTACATTTTACTATTATCTACGCTCTGGAGTTGTTTATGTCTATTGAAACTGAATGGTGGAAATACTATATAATGCCGTGCTACTATGCATCTCTTCCCAATTCCATGGTCAGTGGCATCATGTAAGTAACTTGAGTTTGTCCATCGTGAAGTGTTAACATTATGGAAATTGGCAAATGCTATGAATTAGTCCCCACCTTCCTAAAAGCTAGTTGTTAAACATTTGTAAGCACACTACTACTGGTTTAATCCCTGGGAAAGAGGCAAAGTTCAGATGTCAAAAGCCAAAGAACAGTACAAATTAAAACTGCAGCTACCTGTGGTTGCTCCCCTTTGCTATTTGAGGGAGCTAGCATCCAGGGAGCTGAAGAGTGGAGTTTTGGTATTTTACAAATATAAATGTTTAGCATAGGTGTCCTTTAATTAGCCATGAAGTAGGAATTAGATATTATTAATATAAACTAGTAAAAATTTTTATGGTATAAAAGAAAATCCCATTTGTTATGTTAAGTACTTATAGATGAGATGATGAGATTCTTTTTAGAGCTGATTAAACTTGGAGGTGATATGTGAGGTTTAATCTGTGTTTATAGATTTGACACTTGCCACACCCTGCTACTGCCCTGCCACTGCATGGCTGCAGCCTTGTCCATGACTGTGAAAAGCTACAAGATGTTTATGTAAATTTTGGAATGCTTTTGGCTCTTGTTATATTTGGAAGAGGCTCTGGGATGTTGTCTTAAAAAGCTAAGAATTATTTATAAAGAGGCCAAAGCTAATTGTGATATGATGTGATGGTGGGAATGTAGAGTTATTGTCAACACCAGAATTTTGGCTGTGCTTGTATAACAGGTTTTCCTTAAGGGCTTTAATTGTTGTTTGAAATCTGATTCTTAAAAACCCCAGGCAATATGGCAAAGAATATGAAATTTTATAGAAATGTTCAATTTGAATGATTTGGATGAAGTTAGCTAGCCTCAATACCTGGTGCGTTTTTCCTTCAACACTTTTCTTAGATGTTTAAAGTCTTACTTGTTTTAATTAATTATAAAGGAATATGTGCTATGTGCTTATTGCAAACATTCAAATAATACGGACTATGGATATCTTACAGAGTCACAACCCAAAACTCCAGAGGTAAGACAGCATAAATAAAGCAGTTATTTTGTGTTCTAGAGTTTTTCTGTCTCTATGTGCTTAATGTTAAATATGAAAATTAAGTGAGGTTATATTCCTCTGGAACCTACTTTTTCGTTAAAAATTAGGATGTGGTATACCTACAGAAGACTATATAACTGGATGTATGCATCTTAATGAATTATAACTAAATGAACACTGGTGTAATCTCTACTTAGGGTAAGAAATAGAAAATTACCTGCAACTTAGAAGTTGTCTGTGCCCCTTCATAATAATAATTCTTACTCTTCCATCGGTAACCATAACTTTGATTTTTGTGACAATTATTGTCTTGCTTTTCTTCATACTTGCATCATGTATCCATGTATCTCTAAATAATCTTTTCTTTAGTTTTGACTATTTTGAGCTTTATATGGAAGAAATCATACTGCATGTATTTTCCTCTGAATTTTCTTTTATTCAGCATTGTTAATGAGATTCATTCATGTTGTTGCAGTAGGTGTAGTTCATCATCTTCACTGATGTATAATATTCCAGTGTAGAGATAGAAATCAAGTTTTTTTCCCCATTGGACTGTTGATGGACATATGTGTTTCCAGTTTTTTCATAAGGAGTGCTAGTTTAAATATTTTTATATACATCTGATAGAAGTGTATAAAAGTTTTCCTATGTTATATACCTAGGAGAGAGGTTGTTGGATCATAGGGCTTGCACATGTTCATCTTTACTAGGTAATGCAAATTGTATTCCAAAGTGGTTTTACCAATTTACTCTGTGACTCACAGGAGATGAAAAGTCCTATTTCCTCAAATCTTTGCCAATACTTGGTATTGTCAGACTTAAAATTTTTGCCTATGTATGTCATTGTAGTTAATTCACATTTATATGATTCCTAATCAGGCTAAATTTCTTTTTCCATAATTATTGACTATTCTGGTTTTACTTTTCATGAGGTTTCTGTTCAAGTCAGTTGTTTGTTTTCTATCTTGTTTGCCTTTTATTTAATGATTCTTCAGCGTTCTTTACATGCAGTTTTTCATCGAATCTAAGATTCCATTGATTTTTAAATGTACCACTATTTTATGTTACATTAAGAAAAAAAGAACATTTTAAATTAAATTATAACCTACTAGAATTCATAATATGCACCTCAATTTCCATGATGGTAAAGTGTGGAAAACTATCTTAGTATAAGACCTTTGCCAGTTATGTGTGTTGCGAAAAACTTCTCCTGATTTTTTATTTTTGAGACAGGGTCTCACTCTGTCACCTGGGTAGAGTGCAAGTGGCATCATCATAGCTCTCTGCAACCACAAACCCTGGGCTCAAGCGATCCTCCTGCCTGAGCCTCCCAAGTAGCTGGGACTGTAGGTTTGTGCCACCATGCCCGGCTAAGCTTCTTCTGATTTGTTGCTTGCTTTTTCTCTCTTTATAGTTCCCTTTGATTAACTGAAGTTCTAAGTTTTTGTTTGTTTGTTTGTTTTTTTGAGACAGAGTCTCGCTTTGTTGCCCAGGCTAGAGTGAGTGCCGTGGCATCAGCCTAGCTCACAGCAACCTCAAACTCCTGGGCTCAAGCAATCCTCCTGCCTCAGCCTCCAGAGTAGCAGGGACTACAGGCATGCGCCACCATGCCCGGCTAATTTTTTCTATATATATTAGTTGGCCAATTAATTTCTTTCTATTTATAGTAGAGACGGGGTCTCGCTCTTCCTCAGGCTGGTTTCAAACTCCTGACCGCCCGCCTCGGCCTCCCAGAGTGCTAGGATTACAGGTGTGAGCCACCGTGCCTGGCCTTAAGTTTTAATGGAATCAAATTTATCAACTTTTTTTCTGTGTTTTTTTTTTCCTTTTGCATTTTATTTAAGAAATTCCAACTGTGAGATAAAGAAGATACAGAAATTAAACTTTTAGAAATTAATTTCTAAAAGTTCTGACTCGAGCATAATGAAATCAATACATGTAACCCAAAACATTTGTAGCCCTGTAATATTTTGAAATAAAAAAATTCTAAAAGTGTGTTTTGTTCTTCTTATTTCATTTTTAATCTTCATAGAATTGATTTTAGGTATAGTATAAAATAAGGGTCAAATATTTTTCTTTCTGGCCTATATCTTTCTTTCTTTTTGAAATTTATTTCAAGGTATGGGGATAAAATGTTTTTCGTTACATGGATCACTTTTGTAATGCTTGAGTCAGGGTGATAAGTGTGCCTGTCACCCTTACTCATTGTACCTGTTAGGTAGGTTCACCCATCCCCTCCTGCCCCCTCCTCCTGTTTGATTTCCACTGAGTTATACTTCCTTCTCTGCACGTGTGTGCTCATCAGTTAGTTCAAATTTAATAGTGAGTACATGTGGTGTTTGTTTTTCCATTCTTTAGATACTCTTAGAATAATGGTGTCCAGTTCCATCCATATTGTTGCAAAAGGCATTAAGTCATCCTTCATGGCTGAGTGATATTCCATGGCCAAAGGAAAAAGTCATTTTTATCAAAAAGGCACCTGCACTTGAATGTTTATTGCAGCACAATTCACAATTGTAAAGATGTGGAATCAACCCAAATGCCCATCAATTCATGAGTGGATTAAAAAAATGTGGCATATGTCCTGTCCTATATCTTTTTTTTCCACGATTTGTCAAACCTTCATACCAATACCATACTGAATTTCCTGTCGCTTAACATCTGTTAGAACAAGTACCTCTCCATTTGTTTTTCTGCAAGGGTGTTTTGGTTATTCTTGGCCCTTTGCACACATGCATCCTACACACAAAAAATCCCCCCCAAACAAAAAAATTGCTAGGACTTTTGTTAGGATTGATTTGAGTCTATTTGAGGAGAAATGTCATCATTATAATATTGAGTATTAAAATCCATTAACATGATATGTATTTCCATTTTGAAATCATTATTAATTTATCTTAATGTTTTATGAGTTTGTGTCTTACACATTTTTTATAAGATTCATTCCTGGATATTTTTGTTATTAAAGGCAGTATTTGCGTTTTGTTGCTGTATATAAAAATACAATTGAGATTTGTATATTACCCTTGCATTCAGCAACATTTTATTCAAGCTTATTAATTTTAATAATTGCAATTTTAAAAATTTTCTACATATGCAATCATAACATCTGTGAGATCAGTTCTGTTTCTTTTGTTTGCCATTATGCATAGTCTTAAGATTTCCA